AGGGATTAAGATCGTTTTGAAAGGCAACTTTGATAGCATCATCGAGGGACTATGATCTTTTTTAATTCGTTTGTGCTAAGACATCTCACATGCATAACATGGCCATTTTTGTAAGGCAACAAGTGGAATTACCCTAGGGGTGTAAGTGTGCGAGTGCGTTTGATTGCATGCATATTTTGTCTTTGATTAGGGTGATCTATTTGTCAATTTTTATATCTTGTCATATACCCTAATTACTAGCATATATTGAAAGCAAATAACAGTGTAGAAATGTAAAGTTCTACACTATTACAACATTTAAGGGGATGGGGATACATATTTTATGAGTGGGGATTACAAGTTTAAAATTCTGGGTTACTTATTACAACCATATTGAAATAGACAAGAATGTACAAGAAATGTAAAATATTTTTCTGTTTAAAAATAAAATAACTTTTGCTTAAGAAAATATTTTTGGTCCTTTTTCATTAAAAGAAAATATATCATGCAAATATAAAATATTTTTGGTGTTTTTGTTTTTGATTAGAAATAAAATATAATGTAATGGCAAAGATAAAAGAGAAGAAAACATAACCAACGCAAAGTAGAAGAGGTCAGAAGTTCTGACGTTAACTTACTGCACAAACAAAAACATGTTAGTAAAATATGGAAGTTCAGAAGTTCTGGACCTTCTGAAAATTTAGAAGTTTCCAGAAGTTCTAACGCAACTATCAGAACTTTGCCTCTCTTCTGGCCAGTCAGAACATCTGCAGCTTAGTCATTTACATAACAAAAGTTGCATGCATAATAGTTATGACAAATTTCATGAAATATCAGAAGCAAGAATCAGAGGCAGCATGTATTTGCTAGTTCTAATTCTGAGTCCTATTTTCTTTATGAAACTCTGAACTGAGATTTCTTTTACTCAGGCAAGCAGATGCATGAATTTTCAGAATATGTATACCATCAGGATCAGAATATCTACACTGTGCTGAATATGTAAAATCTGATAATGCTTAATCAGTTATGATGAGAGTCAGTAAAACTTACCTTGTAGCTGGAAAGGATTCTGTGAACTGGGGATTGTTCTTGACTTCTGGTGATGTTCTGAGTAGCTTCTTCACGTACTCAGCAGGATGGAAGTGTGCAACTTCTGAAGCATCCAAAGGGGTGATGTTCTGACTCCTTTGTGGTGAAAGTAAATGGAGAACGTGTTACTGTTTTGATTACAGAATCTGGGGTGGCTTAAATCAAGAACACTTAAGGAAAAATGGAGTTTGGATATAATGAATCAATGCTAAGATTTTGGTATTTTGTGTTTATAGTTTCCTGGGTTCTTGGAATTTTTGCAGTGGTTCAAAGCCTTCTTTCTCAATTCTTTCGTCTCTTTCACAAATTTTCTGGTAAAAGGGAGAGAGGTCTGGTCAAGAGAGAGGTGGGGGGGCTTTTCAGTGTGCAAATGATGTTCTATTTATAGGGAAATTTTTGCAGTTGGGGCGGTCAAGTGGCACCAACATCACCTTCTTGATGTTGACTTACTCTTGAAGTAAGCTTAAACAAGTGGTGGTTCATTGCATTCAAGTTGGATGGTTAACAGCGCCTCAGCTGGATTTAGCAGCGTGAATTAAGGAAAAGTATAGACAGTGCATTGGCCTAGTATACTTTTGCACATAAATTTGTCTTCCCAAGACAGTAGGGGTACACGTGGAAAGACTCCCTTGGATAAAGACTCAGAGACGGTTTGTGAGTATTAAATGAGTTCCCATGTGATATTCTGGATCCTTGCTTGACTCTGGATTAGAAGTTCTGCTTCAGCGTGGCATCTCATCTTCTGATCCTCTTATCTTATGACTTCAGCATGTTCTAAGGGATCCTTCAGAACTTCCAGTATACTTACAGCACACTTTGTTACCTTCTTTGACTTAAACTCTGCAAACTCTGACTGGACCGTTATGAACACTGGCTCAGAAGTTCTGACTAAACTCTGTCTTGAGAACATCCAGAATTTTTCGACTGCGAACAATGGCTCAGAAGTTCTGAAATTGTTATGTTTCTTAAATACTTAGAAAAATTTCTAAGTCTTTAGAATTTGATTCTTCCAAGTAAGATTTGACTTTTGAAACTCTTGATGAAGCAAATTTCATATTCCAACATGTCTGGATGAAATATGATTTTTCTGATTTGATTTTGATCTAAAAGTCAAAGTCAGACTTTTTCAGCGTGCAAATGACCATTTTGCCCTTGTGAATGGTTTGCTTGGAAAAATTGGTAATTTAAGGCTGGAGACTTAATGAAGGAACACTTGAGGATACAGTGTGATCCCTTGAGAAATGAGAGGGCAAATTTTGGGGTGCAACAATTGTCTAGATACATTAGTTATTCAATGTATCTAAAAAGTGAACTTTTTCTTATAAATAGGACAAAAGGTTATAATAAACAAAAGAATTATGACATAATTATGGCGAGAATCAGAGAGACATTTAGGTACGTAAAAAATTAACTAGCCAAAAGTAAAGATACGTCACTATCTTTGTGTGCTGTGTAGTGACAGTTTCATCCTGAAAATCTTACTGAAAATTAGTTTTCAATCGAAAATGTCTCAAGAAAAGTTCGTTCCCCGTTCAATGTTGGTGTCCTCAATGTGGCCTTCTTATTCCTCGTGCTTGGTTCTGCATAGGCAGGGGAGACTCATCGAGATGGGGTGGTGACTTTGAATCTGGACATACTACGTCAAATAGGATTTTTGTTTTTATTTTCACCCAAGACAAGACAATGCTTTACACCTTCGACCAGCCATCATCAGATAAATCGAGTTCTTAATCAGATCCAATATGCATCTCCATCTTATTGGGCGTGATGGATATATTCGGCTACAACTTCTATAGCGTAAACATCACCATAGAGACCATTAATCTTTCTTGTGATTTGCTTTTGACGATGATCCGAACATGACGATTTTGATTTGGGTAACAACCCATAACCGTTTAGACAACGACCTTTGATCCTTCTGGCGATTCGAGTTTGAGCTCGCCGATGACCTGAACCAAATGACGACTTGGGTCTAAATACCACAGCTTCATCATTTCCTTCCTCCGGTTACTAGGGGCGGGGTACATGAAAATCGGCTGATTGTAGTGCTAACAAGGGCATAACTTTTTGAAAGAGAAAATAAATATTCACCACGTTTGAAGAACCCAGAATGCCATATAGTATCCTAGATTGAATTTTGCTTTTATCTAGATATCTTTTTTACATTTGGAACTATGGTTCACGGCTGATCTATTCTCCTTCATGAACAAGTGTTGACATTTTGAGGTTGAATTGCAAGGTAGATCACTGCTTTTTTATTGGACTCGAGGCCCGTGTTAGTTTTACCGATTTCTATGGTGGGTGTTAAATGTTTCTGATAAACATTTTTTGATAATCTCCCCGATATGAATAAGATGAGACCATAAATGTAATGTATTTGGAGGGTTATTTATCTGCTTGTATGTTTGTTTGTTACCGTTTAGTTACCCTTCTTTCTCAACGAAAGGCCATTTTATACTCCACCTAATGCTTTAGATTCATTAAGAAGTGACTTTTCAAGTCTGATGAATTGATGAAGTTCATAACATCTGTCGTCACCATCATATGCGCGTAATGTCCTCTTCATTAATTTCTGTAACCTCCATGTAGTCTTTGGAGTTTTTTTGTAACTGTTACCCTGAGTTATTATCTCGGCCTTCTAATTTGTTCGCGTAGCCCTAAACCATTATCGACAAAGCCGTCTAAATCTTTTGAGAGGTCATGTGCCAGAAGTTGAATTTAACTTCATTTGAATCGTAAATTTTTTAAAAGACCCTATTTAACCATGAAATATGTGCACGAAGACCCTTTTTTCCATAAGTTTAATCATGAAAAATTGTGAGATCCTATATTGTTAACCGTCTTCAAAGACGACTCTAATTATTGACACTCCGATCTGATTCTTTAATTGCCTGACAAACAATAACTCGGTCATTATTAATTTTTAGCAATACTCGACATATCTAACTTATTAACCTCACTCTCAAAAATTATGGAATGTACTCAATGTAACAAGATAACATTTTTTAGGATCCAAAGTCCTACTCACACCCCATATATAAAAAGGTCCACTCCAATAATATATATATATATATATATATATATATATATATATATATATATATATATATATATATATATATATATATATATATATATATATATATTCATTTAGTTTAACCTCTAAACTCTTAAAATTTTCACTTATTTGACTGTTAGAATAATTGCACAGTAACCTTCCGACGAACCACCGTCGACGACCATCATCTTCAAAGCCACTTTGAAGATGTATGTTCTCATATTAATAGAAGGATTAAAATTCTCATCATTAACACATATGAGTTGAATTCTTACTAATTATTTCCTTAGCTATTTATTAAAAAAAAATTATTCATTAATAATTGGACTAAACATAAAATAAATACATTATTTATTTAATAAATTTAAAAAATAATTTTTTTATGAGAAATTCTTGTCAATATATCTTAACCATTTTATTAAAAAATTATTACCGTGTAGATTTGAACACCAAATATGAACACTTTATATATAGAATCAAAACCACAACTTGTCAAATTACATGGATTAACAACCCTATTGTTAGAGACAAGGAAACCCATATGTTTTCTTTTGGATTCACGCTACTGACCTTATCTAATTCCGTTGACTTTTTAACTTATTGTACACTAGCATCATTTTTACATTTTCTACAATTCCATACAAAAAGTCACATCCTCATGCCTACTACACCTTCTAAATCTAATATCTCCTCCAAGTTTCAACATTAACACAATTAATTAAAACAAAACAAAAAACCATTCAACCGTATATGCAATATTTCTACCCTTGTTTCTCTCTCTCTCTCAACCAACCAACCATAACTAACATTTAATAACACCACCCGATTCACCGACTTCAAATGTAAACAAACAAACAACAACAAGAACATAAACATGACCATGGACCGAACATCATCACAAGGAAGTTCACCGGACTCACCATCACGAACCACAAGAGTACTATCCATCGAATGTTTCAGAGGAAGTTCAAAATCCGATGACATGCTACAAACCGGCGATATAGTTGAAGAGCTCCGACTTGGAGGTTCAGCGAACTCAATGATTCGGTTTAAGTCGCCTTATAAGAACGGTAAAAGCGGTGTTAATAAGATCCTTCAGGAAGCGTATAAGAAAAAAGAGAGTTCTATTCTTGTTCGAGTTCGCCGTGGAATTGATGAGTTTGCCGAGTTGCAGGGTTGTATTGTTCCTAATGATTTGTCTGGGAGTAAGAAGTGTTATGTTCTTAGGTCTGTTACTGATCCTGATTATGTTGTTGGGTTTTTGGATCGAACTGAAGCTGAATGCTTCCAACTCCAAGGTACTGTTATTACTACTTAGTTTCACTTCTTGACGGTTTGAAATTTAATGAAATCACCAAGTTAAACTTAATTAGCATCTTAAAAAATCTAGATACCATGTAAAAGGATTTTGTACTTGCGATACGCTAAGCAGAGGTATTTAGGGATGTGATATGTAAATTTTACTGTCTATGTTTCATTGTTTGCTAGATGTTCATTTGTTCAGCAATGGTTACATATTATGACTAAAGATATCTTCATTTAACGAGTAAATGATAAAACTGTCCTTTTCAGCTACAAGAACCAGTAGGATGGTAAATGAGCTAACACAAACCCGAATACAAGATGGATTTGTCTCCTATCCATGGGAGAGGAGGATGCAGGAGTTGCTATCCGTTCCCAATTCTAGCAACTTTCTTTCCATATTACTTCTTCCCAAAGTTTCAGATAGGGTAGCTTCTCGCTACAATGACGTGGAGGACACACTTGCCAGGGCGAACGCATGGCTTAATGCAGCTCAAGGTTCAGGGGTCCCTATTGTCTTTATGAATATTCAAACCGAGTCTTTACTTACCAAGGTAAACCATCATCAACTCCTTGACCATTTTATAATTCCAACACTGTCCTTATAGACTTTGTTTGTCTTGTATGACAGATATCTGGAGAGACTGCTTCTTCCACTGTAAACACAGGGTCCTTATCCGACTTATGCAACATTGCAAATGCAAGCCTTTATGGTTTCGAAGATTATCACGGAGTAGACATTGGTGTTGTTAGAGCAATTCGACTATGGTATGCTCCAATGGGAGGAGAGGTTTCAATAGAGATAAAACTAAGAGATGATGATTCAAAGCTTGGCTTTTCGATTAGTCGTACAGAAGAGGTCTCTCTCTCTCGGATCTTGCATACATGCTATGGAACATTTACATAGACACTAACCATAATAAACTTTAAGAAAACCGAACAATTGAATGTGATTAAAATTGTCTGATGCTAAACAAGTCTTTAATCTAAAGTGTCGGTAGTACTACGTAGCATACATGTGCTATGTTAAATAGAGTATTTTATTGTTGAATGTTTGATCTGATAATTTTGTGATCAACAGGGTTTTGTATTCATCTCATCATCAGTTACTGATGAAGGTAAAGAAAGTTCACCGGCCACACGTTCAGGTCTAAGCAAACTATACAAACTAGCAACAGAAACTTCAAGGCTGTTAGTAGTTTCAAGGCTTTCAAATCAAAGAGTCCTTCCGTGGATGGTTTCATCAACAGGAGCAATTCGATGTTACGACACAGTTTCATTGAGCCAGAAACTCTCTTTACACCGACACACTAAAGTTCCTATTCTCCTACACGTCTTCCTTTGGGACAGAACATTGGCTACTTCAAGTGTAGAGAGTACAAAGTCCAAACCCTTATCTCCATTCGTGTTACCATTACCATCTGAAGTTCAATCCTGTGAAGGTTCTGATTCAGGTGATATCAATACCAGTGATAGCTCTCAGCCTAGGCAGCTTGAGAAAGGCACAGCCGGGGATGTCTCATTCAGATTCCAGGACTTCTCTTTGTCCTCCACCAACTTGGTATGAACATGACGATACACATCATTAAACATAGTGCATGTTTGGATATATGGTAAATTTGACGAAATCACAGACACACTTTGATTCTGTCAAACTTACTGTCAATCCAAACATGCACATTGTACATACAAAATGATATACTATATTGCTTTTAGAATTTCTTAATTATATTTTTGAGTAGGGATAATTAGTGAGTGTGACTAGTATTTAAATACTACCAATAAAGTTTGTGCTTAGTAGGGACAACTTGTTTGAAAGAAGCAATAAATTCAACTTTGAAAATGGTTGGTCTGTCAGCGCCTGCAATATGAGAATACTACTACTATAATAGAGGAGAGATAAAGGCTCATTGATGTTGAATGCTAAGAATACTTTACAGAGTCAATGACAATACTTGGGCCTACGAGCTGCTTCTTGTCAATAGTTTTGAACTTTTATTTTGAAAAGAGAAAAGATAGTTTGACACTATCTTGATATGTATGCATAAGAGAGATACTATTGTTATTTTAATAATTTCTTTTACTAAGATTTTTGTGCAAAAAAACATATGTCTTTGTTAATATATAGGGTGTATGAAAACCAGTGTAAAAATAGCATGCAAACAGGCATACCAAACGGTTGTGAATTCAAAATCTTGTTCAAACCAACCAGAATAATTTTGAACTAAATAGTAATGGATCAACAACTAAACACTTTAAAACAGTAATAATAAATAACTCTTTGTGCAGATTAAAAGACAATCAAATTTGTTTATCGATCTAAAAAAAGATCAGTTTTTTTGTTCCAATATCAAAAAGATTTTACAACAGTTAAAAAAGAAATACAAGAAATTAATTTCAACTGTTTTTCAAAAATAAATTCTAAATACTAATGGTGCATTTGATTAAGGTAGTTGATTTTTTTAAAAGAATTTATATTTTAATTAATTTAAATGATTCAATTAAATTATATTTATTTTAAATATTTTTTAGTATTAAAATTATTTATTGTTAAACTTTTGGTATCATCTTATAAATATAAAAATTTTAGATTAAATTTAAAATTTAAAAAAGATAAGATAGTGTTTCCCATAAATACACCATGATTTATTTTTAGTTTCTAAAACTTTTCTTTCAAACAATCGTATTTTTAATGTTTTTTATCTATACTCTTGGTTCCTCCCTTTAACTTAATGTTAACAAAATTTAGTGTGGAGGAACAACTGACCTCTAACACCATTTTAACACACTGTCAGATGTTATGTGAATGTCAAATGAATTATATTTTAATATCGCATGAAATTTAGATTAAAAATGTATTAAATATTAGTGTTCATAATAATTGTTGAACTCAAATCTATTTCTATTCCTTCTCTTTTAAAATTACCCTTTTAGCCATTCATATTAGTCGACGCGTACTATTATCAGTTGAGATCAAAGTTGGGTACTTCTAAGATCCTTCAATACATTACTTTTCTATCACGGCTAAACGTTAACTCTTGTTTAAAGTTGTATATGTAGCATCGAAAGTTGTGTTTTGGTGTTAAGAGAGTTTTTTAAGGGTGAAAAAATTAAAAGCTGCCGCGATTTATCTAGAAGAAGATGAATAGATTATCAAATTAAAAATAATAATAAAAAATTTAATAGTTGAAAATTTTATTTTAAAAGAGTGGAAGTGGAAGATTTTAGTGTAGATCGATAAAAATCGTATATACGAATTTAGTAATTGATACTCAAATATGCAAAAAAAAACAACTTTATGGAATAAATGACTTGATAAGATGAATTAATACACTTAAAACAATCAACAATTTATTATTCGTTTATCATAATTAACTAGCAACTTATTTCTAATATAATTAAACAAAAATATAAAACAGTGCAATTTGTCAAACACTTGGTGTGCGGATAAATTTTTAGAATTTTTCTTTGAGTTTTGTTGATATGAAAAAACACTTATAATCAAAGTGATTATAAGATAATCAACAAACTAATTTAAATCAAAACAACCACAATTTTTTTTACGAGTCAATCGATTAAACAATCAAATTTAACAAATTACATAATGAAAAATAAAAGCGAGTAAAGAAATAAGAGAAAGCGACACAAGAATTTGTTAGAGTAGTTCACCACACCGTCCTCGCTATTGGCTACGTCTGCCCCCAATTTCAATTTCAATTGAGAAGTCAATTCTTACTTTGCAAAAAAAGTATTACAAGAGAAGTGTTCCAAGTGCAACCTTACAAATCCTAACTGTTTGTTATTGATTCAACCCTTTCTCTTTCTTTGATCTTGAGCAAGACCAAGACACAATAGCTACCAATTGATTTATCAAATCTTGCTACTCCTTTGGGTTACCCTAACTCAAAATCTCTTCGTGCACGATCAATTGTACCTATTGAACACAAGAACTTTCAATTAGATTCACCGTTCTTTTGTTACTCCTTTGGGTTACCCTAACTCCAAAGCTTTCACTTAGCCGCAATCCTCTTTTGAAAGTCTTGTACAAAACCCCCAAATCTATCAAAGAATTTGGAGGACAAATGTAACACCCTTCTAACCCCACATGTAATATTCATATAATTTACAAATTAAATCAAATAAAATCACCACTCAAGAGTGTCACACTTCATAGAAAACATCATAATAACAAATCCTGCTTTGTAACCCGGGTTACATCACTAATAATATCATCTTATCATAGCTCAACAAAACATTTAAGTCATCGCAACAAATTCGTCTTCATAAATAAAGTCCTTTATAAAATAAAACTCATAGCATAATAGTCTCAATCAAAAGTTGGAATTCAAATTGGTTTAACAATCAAAACTGTCACAAAATTTATGTCAACATCAAAAAACATGATATTCGTAAAACATAGGGTTCCCAATACGATGTTACATATCAGAGCAAGACACCACTAATGTAGCAAACTAAATAAAACACCCTGAAGCTATCATCAACGCTTCTACGAACTACTCCTGGTCACATGCGCGTTAGCCACATGGAGGCAACATTCAAACAGAAAGGGTGAGTAGTCACAATTTATTATAAAAGATATAAGGAAAAGACGAGTAGTTACAAACAATCTCATCATATGACAACATATTTTATTAATCAACACGTCATACTCACAGATACATCACAATAACAATAGACATCTTTCATCATCAAATCATCATATGCTCACATAACTCACCATTATTATCACATCAAAACTCATCAAAAAAATCATGCAATGTCACATAAGATGTAAATGTACAATACTGACTCAATACATCTGGTACCAATATTTTATAAACATCTGGTTCATCACCCTTTAAAGATCCACACCATAGGATAGATTCCCTCATAGAATCAGACAACATCATAATCGCATTCAACCCACACAATAAGATTGAGGCTCGTCACAAGTGGACCAGCGTCCAAAAATTCTATGAATGCATGATACATAACAACGTCACATAAAATTCGACCACGGCTAGTTAATTGAATCATAATTCACATAATCATCATCACATAACATGTATACACATCAAACATGCACATCATCACTAATAACATCAATTATATAACAACAACAACACCGTAGCAACTTCATAACAACTTCACAACAACATGATATTCATCGTTAAAACAAATAGAATCTCATGGCATAACAAACATGTAATAAATCAATCTCATCAATATATAGGTACTGGAATTATACACCAAACAACTCATATCATTCTGTCATAATATAGTTCAACAGGTTAGCTTCCTAATGCTTCGAACTACGCGTTAAACAGAGTCCTAAATCCCAAGTTACGACACTTTGAAAATACTGCCAGGTCTGCTCGCCTAAGCCTCACACGACGACCATAAGAGCGCTCTGCTCGTCTGGTGCTCGCCCGAAGATGCTGGAGTGACATCCCTTCCCCATAAATTTTCCAGGAGCTTTTCTTTTCCACCATTTCCCTCACCGTTTGTCTCGCTCGAAGACGCTAGAAACGCTTTGCTCGCCCCCAAGCTCGCCCAATGGTGCTTGCATAACTGCAACTTCTCAGTTACGATTTTTGTACTTTCTAGCCCCATTCAAGTTTCAATTACAGTAACAAACTCACTCCAAAAATCATATCAATCATCATATATCACATATTGGCATCAAAATGCATCATCACATCATATTCAACATAAATCATAGCATACAAACATCATAAATCAACAATTCCATCATATATTTCATCAAATAATCACATACAACAAAACCTACTTCTACTTTAGCCTCCTATCAATTATAATAAATCGAGACTAAACCCCTTACCTCGATTTCCTAGCAATCGATCTCTTACTTCACGTTCTACAGAATTCCCCTCTGAGCCCTAGTCTCTTCTCCGCGTTCTCTCAATTCCACGATCGTACATAATGAACTCTCTCTTCCTTGTTTCCTATTTTTACCCCTAGGACCCTTTCTATGTTATTCCCCTTATACCCTCACTTATAATCATTTTTTACCACCATGCCCTTATTCTCCCTTACAACTATTTACTCTATTTAATTATTAATAAATCTAAACAATATAACAAAATTATTTAAATTCAAATAATTTTAATTAGCGCCTTAGTTCTTCACTACCCCACAATATACGACACATGCATCACATAAAATCATAATAAATCATAAATAATCAATTAAATAAATAAATCTAGATTTTAGGATGTTACAACTCTCCTCCACTTAAAGATTTTTGTCCTCGAAAATTACCTGAGAAAAACAGGGTCGAATACGACTCTCTCATATGATCCTCACATTCCTAAGTCAGACTTCCACATGGTCCACCCCACAACACTTTCACCAAGGCAATCTCTTTACCTTGCAGCTGCTTCACTTCCCAACCTTCTATCCGCATGGGTGATGCTACATTTGTCAGGTTATATCTCACATGTACATCATCCATTTGGATCAAATGTGAAGGATCCGGAATGTATTTCCTCATCTGGGATACATGAAACACGTCATGAAGATTTACAAGCGACAACGATAGAGTAA